GAAATCATTCCGTATAAACATATTAAAAACTATTGGAACACACACACATACACAGGGAATAAAGACACTATCTCCAACACTACTTATCCTGAAACCACAAGATACGACATTAGAATAGGTCATAAATGTGTATTTTATCTACACAATGTATAGATTGTCATGCAGCCAAATGGGGTCTGATTTACAAATGCAAGCCAGTGAGATCTAATGGGATGGAATTGCTGAACACCAAAAGTTGCAAGGGACATAAGTATAGTTCAACAAACAAGCATGATCAAATTGCTGCAAGTCTCCGAGTTTAAAAGCATTATGAATAACTAGCTTTCATGAAGTGAGAGACTCCATACCTTAGGATTCAAAGATTTTGTGTTTAATTCTGATCGCTCCCCTACTCCCTTGTTAACCAATTAGATACACATACAAAACAATTCTTTTTGCACCTGTTTTATTGAGGCATTGAGAGCCAGTTCAGTTGCTTCCTTTTTTGTCTCACAAAAGATGATAGTCCGTCCATGACTACCGCTGTAGACCTGAATAACATCTCCAATGACTGCTGCTCTTTGGGACCAGTGACACTCAATAGCCAAATGCTATCAGAAGACAAAATTAACATGTTAGCAACAGATGAGCAGATAAGGCAAATATTCTCACTCAGAATACTGTGTTTAGCAGGAGCTCACAAAGCAACCCCCATTCTACTAGGAACAAGTAACTTACTTCTACAGTCATAGCAGTCTTTTTAGTCCTCTTTCCAATAAGATCAATTTGCTCGTATTTGGATTTCATATACTTCTTTGCTACATCATAAACCCAATGCGGGCAAGTTGCAGAGAAAAGTAATGTCTGGGGATTGTCTTCTGAATCTTTAAAACAAAACATCTTGTGTCATACAATCTTAAAACAATTCAACTAAGAACAAGTAATTTCCTAACTAATACCTTTAAGAATAATCTGAGGCAAAAGAAAATGCACAAATTAAAAGTCAGGAAAAGGGTTAACCAACTAAAATTTTACATGCCTATACCTGTTCCAGGTATCATACACCTCAAGGTACTCTAGACAGCATACACGCAGAAGAGGTAACAGAAACCTATTCATTTGGATGACATTACCCCATAGAGTACACCTTTGAGCATGGTCCCCAATCCAGATTTAAAACGTTTTAAACTGAAAAGTACAAGATACCAGAACATTGTAAACAATTAACTTTTCAATTTGTATTTAAATATGTAAAGCATAATTTGTGCCCAAGATGGAAACAGACCACCTCTTCATACTAGGCTATATTGCATCTTGTCCCATGGCACAGAATCAGTGTGTTAAAAGAGACAAAATGATTGTAGTTCTACTTTCACCACAAGTTCTGCCCATCAGTCCTCCACAGGACATGCAGAATGCCACCACCAGACAACACAAGCAAGACGAGTCCAGCCGTAGGGTACCACCTGTAAATAGTTCCAGAATCCTCTCTGGCCTGAAATGGCAATTCCACAGGTGAAGTATTTACCTTTCTTATATGCATATGCTAAGATTTCCTCTACTTGTTCAGCAAAGCCCATGTCCAACATCTGGTCAACCTCATCCAGGACAACATGCTTTAGATTAGATAGGTCCAGCTTGCCATTTTGAAGGTGATCTTTGATTCGGCCCGGAGTCCCAACCAGGATATCAATGCCATTCCGAATTAAATCATCTGAAAGGGAAGTCAGGGTTTACACATGAAGTTTCAAGGGCTGTAATGAAGCAGAAATAGTACTGCTAACTTTAGACCAAATCATTTACAATTCTATATATATACTTGTAATGATGCACAGTCAAATCTAGGGTAAACTTTTAATGGTTCCAAAATTCTTCAGTAGTGCTGTAGTAGAACCACACACACCCTTATGCCATCTGCCTAAACATACACTTCATTTAGTGCTTCCACTAGCTTCCTTTGCTTTCAAAAAATATCAGTCATGTAAGACTGCACTCCTAGGCACACAGAGTGAGACTTGATTTCTGAGCAAATACACAAGATTGGGCTGCAATTCTTTAGTAATTGATGTCCCTCTTCAGCTATGATTTCAAGAAACAGGTTCCCCATATGCAGATTTTCGATTGCACCACAACAAGCCCACTCAGACTGTAAAATATATTTATTTTAAGCCAGGATATAATGATAAATGCCTCTTTAGCAAGTAATACCACACTGTCAGGATTGACGGCATACAATAATGTAGCACCATCCTTCAGTCAACCTAAAAGCTACACTTCCTCCACATCTGTATTTCCATTTTTTTTTTCAAACACTGAAGGGAAACCTAAAGTACCAGGAATCAGTGCACAAAAACCCAAAACAGCTTACGTTGTCCATTGTATGCTGTTCCTCCATAGAAGCATGCCACAGTGAGTTTCTTTGTGATGTCTTTGAAGTCTCTGGCTACCTGCATTGCCAGTTCTCTGGTTGGAGCAAGTACTAACACCTAAACAGTCATATAACTATTAGAAATGGCATTACTGCTAGTGAAGTACTATGTTAATAAGAACAGAATTATTATTTGATCCCAAGATATTAAGGGTATTTTATAATTCATTTTACTAGAAACACACATGCTCTAAATAATAATGAATCTCTTAGTTCTAGAATTGTACAGTTCTATGCAAGACAGCAAGTTTTAAGAGGAAAAGGAAAGTAAACAAACAAAAATCTCGCATTATCAACTTCGAAAGGCACAATGTCAAAGTGTAAGTGAATTTTTTAAGTTCATCTGTTTGCAGTTACAGAGAATTTATTTACCATTTTTAAAGTTCATCTGTTTGCAGTTACAGAGAATTGATTTAGGGAGCAATCTTAAACAGGTTACTTAGGAGTTACCCATTTTATTCAATGGGGCTGAATCCCATTTTGTGTTTTTTGATTGCAGTTACTGAGGAACAATAGTACTTCAGCCCAAACAGCTTCCTATAACCAAGTTCTTACAACAGTCTGCCCCCAACTTTACTATAATTGGGAAATGATGCTTACTGTGCAATCCTAAACAGTTACCTCTTGTCTAAACCCAAGTGCTTAGAAGAGTGTAACTCTGTCTGCGACTGCACTAGAAGTCTTGCTTTTTACAATGTGCCAATAGTCTTCTCATGACGTATTTTGCTGTCCCTTTTCCAAATTCTTGCCACAACCATTCTGACCACTGTCAACCAATTACCTAGATGGTAGTTTTTGTCTTGACATTGTCATTTGTCTGGCAAACAGGCGTGTGTGCTCCTTACCAGGCAAAAGAGATTTCACAACTTTATGCTTCCATTATGTATATACAGAAGATCTGCATTTAGTGCAAGGCACATCCAACATTTATATTTTGCTAAATGTGTTCTTCTCAGCCATTCAGATTATTCTCAGGCATTAGAAAGACTGTATAGTTTTTCTCCACCAAAAGCACAAACATGATTTTTCAAATTTAAACTCACAAGCGACTATGGGGCAACGAAGAAATTCCCTAAAACAGAAGGTATGGAATGCAAGCAGATGCTGCATTATCTTAAGTATGGATCACCTAAGTGAACAGGCTACTTGTGGAAGACCTGCAAAAGTACTACCTCCTTTTTTCTCACCGTGAAGGTTATAACTGATTTTAATTACCTTTGGAGTGCGGCCTCTCTTTCTTTCCTGGGGATCTCCCTGAAGTTTTTCAATTAAAGGAATGGCAAAAGAAAATGTTTTTCCAGTTCCAGTTCGAGCTTGGGCTATCACATCTTTGCCCTCATTTATGGGCTTCAAAGTCTTTACTTGGACAGGAAAAAGGTGGTTAACTCCTCGAGCTGTGAAAGAATATAGTTAATTTTTTTAAAAGGAAGATATATAAATTTATCAAGACCAAAGAGCTGACACACGCTCATACAATCTAATGCAAGAAACTATCAAAGCAAATTAAAATAAAAATGAAAAGACACATATGAAGAAAACAGATGTAAAGCTCCATACATTTAATTAAAGACAACTACTTTGTTCAACCTGATTCATGTACCTCCCTCTATCAGGCACTCTGCCTCCTGGTCACAGCTGTATCCTTTTGAGAAGCTCACAAACAGAAGTGATGCCTATCCTATGGCCTGTTATCTCCAGAATTTGGTAAACAGGAATAGCTGCTGACAGACCCATTCTCTATGCTTTTTTCCAATCTTTCCTGAAAGCCATTAAAGGTCGTGATCTACTGCTAATACTGGAGTTCTTGCATTAAAAGTAACTCTTGAGGTTTGAGGTCCCCAACCTTCATAGCCCCTTCCTCTGTAGACAAGATGCTTTTACATCTCAACCATTTCACACTGCAGTCTTATTCAGTTACTCCTAAATCCAGTGACACTTAAGACTGAACACAGGACTGCAGTGTTAGCTGTCCTTTTCTGTATGTTTCCCAGTGGTATTGTCCTTTCTGACATGACTAAGTATTTTAAGTGAGGACACACCAAAGTAGCCACCGTAATAGCTGCAGCATTAATTTCAATCCCTTTCCTAAGAATTTTCAATAACTTCCCTTTTTCACTGCCACAGTGCACCAAGCTGTTTTCAATTAGTTTTCCACTAAGATCTCTTTCCTTAGTAATTGCAGCCAAGCAAGAATTCATCATCCAATTTGCCATACGATTTTTTATTCCAACCAACCAATCAATCCAGTGCTATGTATCATTTTGCTCTTACACATTCATCTGTCATTCTGTTGCTCAGTCACCCACTGTTGTAGATATAAAATTAGTTTTAAAAGAGGATTAGACAGATTAATGGAGATTAGGTCTATCGCAGCTACTAACTGTGGTGACTAAAGGGAACCTTCACATTCAGAGGTAGTAAAGCTCTGAATACCAGTGCCAGGACACAACATCGGGGAAGGCCTTGGGCCTTTATACCCTGTTATTGGCCCTACATATTAAGTGGCTGGCCACTTTGTGAGACAGAATGCTGGACTAGATGGACCACTGGTCAGGTCCAGAAGGTCTGCTCTTATGTTCTTACCAGACCTGGCAAGACATGGACCAAAGGGAAGTGGGGGAGAGTGCTTTGTTCCAAACTGTAAACATTCAAAGAATGTACCTTTGAGAAGATCAACAGTTGCTTTAGAGAGATTAAAATTGGCAAAGGCTCCTTCTTTTTGTTCTTCAGTTAATTCCTGTTAAAATATATATACACACTTTTTTAGAAATCCAGAAAACATTGGAAATGCCATAACAAAGTGGAAGTTTTTTCATGAGCTCCAGCACTTAGAGAAAATAAGCACCATAATACAAAAAAATACCAGAATAACCTTTACATGATGTTTCTTGTTGAGTTAAACAGGGTGGAAAGAGACAAAAACAGCAATGTGATTTATTACTGTAAGATTTCATGCAAATTTTGGTGACAGAAATGCAATTAATCAACAGCATGACTAAACAATGGGAAACTGCCACCTACCAAAACTGATACACTCAATCTGCATACAAAAAGAAAGTCAGAGAGTATGACATACTAGAAAAACAGATATCATACCAAGGTTAGTAAATGAAACATTTTAAATAAAAAGCTGTTTATTGTAAGAATATATATTTCATTCTCTTCACTTTCTTTTTAGCTTTTGATGCATAAAATTAGAAGCATCTAAGCTTAACCAACTGGAAATTATAGAACAAACTATGCATGAAAAACAAATGACAGGAAACAGCAAACGTTTTGATAAAATATTTACTGTGTAATGCTATGCAGTTACTCCAGAGATTCTACTGAAATCAATGTGCTTAGGCTGAAAAAACTCTGCAAAGAATTGTGCTTTCAGTCACAGCATTTTCTATCCACAATAAAATATACCCGTATATGAAGAAAATGAAAGTTATAGCAGATCCTTTTTAAAAAAACCTTGAAATAACTCCCACTGAGTTCAACAGGGCTTACTCCTTGGAGAGAGAAGAGTGTACATAATCCTAGTTATAGGTTTATAAATCTTGCTTTCTGACTTTAACATCTCCTTGTTTGAATGGAAATTGTACATAACAAGATACATCAGGCATAAACTGGCAAATTAAAATATAAGATGTACTATATTATGGAGGCTACACGTTGCCTTACACAACTAATTCATTCCCCCCCCCCAAACCACAGCACCATGATTCCATGTAAAACTAGAAGTCACAGAATCAACTTTGCCAACATCTTTTGACATTCAACAAATCAGAACACAACTAAATAAATTCAGTAGATAAAAAGGAAACACATAAGGGCATCATCTCACCTGATCTTGGTCCTCGTCACACTCTATACTTGATTCTTCACCAGAATTACATTGATTTTTCAAGTGGGCAACCCCATTTGTTACAGCAGTTTGTGTCTCATATTCTGCAATTATCTCTTCAATATCATCATTCACTGCTTTCTTTTTCTTAATCTTCTTCGGTTTGGGAGGTTCCAGTTCTGTATCAGACAGCTCATTTTCCTCTGGCTGGGATTCTTCATTCTTTAGTTTGTGCTTTTTGGATTTCTCTTTTTTATCCTTCTGAAAAGTAAAAATATTAACAATAAAAATTAATATTCTTGAATTAAAATATATGTGTTTTCATGAAAAACTGTTAATTGTTTTCCTATTCCTTATCACTAAGCAGAACAATAAACCTCATCCCAACACTAGAAACTGATCTGAGTAGAAACCACCTCTAAAAGTGCACATCTTAAATTAGTTTCCCTGCCTCTTTTTGTTCACTTTGCAACCCAAACAACTAGCACACAGAGAAAAATATGAGGCACTGGTTCCTGGGCTGTCTCCTAAATGTTACTAGTCAGAAATTCACATACAGTTTAATGAAATGAAGAAATGCTAGATGTATAGTCAGGCCTGCACGTCAAACAGAGTAGAGGGCGAACAATTAAACTTAATATATATATAATATATATAATACATGCATTTATTTGTAAAAAATTAAAAAACATATGGGGCCCAATTACACCTCATATAAAAATTCCAAAATCACACACACAACAGTCAATGGACTTGACCTGATGTATTTCGACCTGTTTAGGCCTTCTTCAGAGGTCAAACACAATGAAGAACAAATTGGCTTATACCATAATACAATACAATTATACAGCACAAAATACCAGAAAAGAATTGTTCCAAAGTGAAATTACTAGGCATAGAATAAAAGGATAACCAAGGCCTCCCAAGATCCAATCATATGACAAATGATATTTCACTGATGATAATTTCTGGTCCAGAAAGTGCCTTTTAATTATTGTTCAGTTCAAGCCAAAAGTGTCCTCAGCAAAATTGCCCCTTGAGTAAAGTTATCTTTCCACTCCAAGTGTCTCATTCTGTGCAACATGCCTAAAGGTTAATAGGCATGTTTATACCACAGAATGAGACACTTTGAACAGAAAAAATAACATTTGGTAGATCAGTCTCTGTTACTTTCCCTTGAAGCAGTACACCCCACAAGCCATAATGAGCTTTTAAAAATGGGCTGATAAAAAAGCCATGACTTTCAAGCAAACTAAGCACTTAGTATGTGTCAGCAATATTGGATTGCTGTCTTGTTACATCTTTCCTCATAATAAAAACAAAGAGGCAGGACAGAAATATTAAATGGCGACTTTGAGTGACTGAAAGCCAATGTGGTGCAGAGGATCAGACTAGCCACTGGAAGATGTGGGTTCAAATTAGCAATTCACCAGGGAAAGTTGCTGGACGACTTTGAACCAGTCACACACTCTCAGCCTAACCTACCTCAAGGGGTTTGCTGTGAGGATAAAAGGGATGAGAGAACAATGTAAGCCACTCTGGCTCCCCATTGAGGAGAAAAGCACGGTACAAATGAAGTAAATAAACTTCACGAACAGAGTCCTTTCCCTTCTTTGTACTACACGAGGACTCCAGTATTGGCTTGCATAGTAGCACCAGGCTTAGTACTTTTATTACAAAATCAAGAATTAGTCAGCCCAGTTACTCTGTCGTCGTTGTCCCCCCAATTTTCCAATGGGAAAACCGAATGTTTGATGGAATGCTGGGGGGAGAACCTCTTATGAAATATTAATTGTTTTGAACTAGTGAACTACTTGTAACCCTGAAATGTGCTGCACACGGAAGCTTATGCCTAGAGTAAAACGTTGTTGGTCTTACAAGCGTGTAACCCTGAGAAGGTAGATTAAGCGGAGGCCGTGTGGCTGACCCAAGGTCACACTGCCAGGGTTCCATGCCAGAGCGGAGATTCCAACGTGGGTCTCCCAAATCCTCCCGCTAACGTCTTCACCACCTTTCCCCCCCAGTCCTCCCCCCCCTTCCCCCCCCCCCCCCAAACAATACACTCGTTCTCTCCTCCACGACTAGAAAATTTCTGGACATTTTACTCCTCGGGGAAAACAACAGGTGAGGGGAGCGTTATCAGGTCGACAACGTGGCTGTGACCCATCTCATTCCCGGGAACAAAATGGCATTTTAGGGCTCCGCGCGCGAGGCCTCTCGCTGGGATTTCGCTCGGCGTCAACCACGTGGCTCAGGGCCGCCTGGAGGCCCAAATAACAGCCTCGTCACCAGCGTGCAGGTAGGCCGCTTGCTTCTCAGGCGAAGCCGCGTCCTGTCCCCGTCCCCGACTCCTCCCTCCCCGGGCCGGCTTCCTTCCCCGCTCGCTGCCGCCAGCCACGAGGCCCGTCGGGCCTCCCCCACCCCACCGACCTTGCGCATCCTCCTGCCGCCGCCGCTGCTCTCCAGGGCGTCCTCGGGCTCTAGGAGGGTCTCGGGCTCGAATTCGTCGTCGCTCTGGCAGTCGGGGCGAGGGGCCGCGGGCATCTCCTGGGTCTCCTCGCCGCTGAGGTGGTGGGTGAAGCGGCTGCTCAGGGCCCAGGCCGGCGAGAAAGGAAAGAGCTCCGCCCCGCCGGCGCGCAAGAGGAAACGAGGCGGCGCCCGGCGGAGGAAGGCAGCAGTCGGCAGGCAGCGCCGCCAGGGGGAGGGAGGTTGGGGGAGCTCCGGCCGCCGGGCGGAGACGGCTGTGGCGCAGCGGGCCTGGCCGGGGGGGAAGAGCGAGAAGCCCGCCGGCCGCCAAACCGCCAAGACCACCCGCCGCCCTAAGCAGCCGCGCCACCCTCCCATCGCTCCATGCGGCGCCGGCGACCTGCAAGCGGGAGCTCCGCTGCTCCGCCCACCTGAGCCCGTGACGAGCTTCCCTCCCTCGGATCAGCCGGCCGCTTTTCCGGCGGTCACGCCGCCGGGGCGAAAGGTGGCGGGAGAGAGACGCAGAAGCGGCGGCGGCGGCGGCAAATCGCAACACCCGGAGCGTGGTGCTGGCTCCAGTGGCTCTGCTCTTTTCCTACCGCACGGAGCTCAAAATGGCTTAGAATATTAAATGAAATAATAAAACCCAGAAGTTTAAACCACCATCATCCAAGTTTAAAGGGCGAATAAAGACCTGGGAGCCAACTTCAGCCTAGCCTAGTGCGGATAAGGAACTGGACACCAGCTGTAGCCTGGGCTGCTGTAGCCTAAGCCTCCATAAAGCCCCGGTCACGAACCGCCGGGGAAGCCTCTTTCTGTAGGGGCAAAGGCGGAGTTTGCGTTCTTTTTCCTTCCTGCGTGGGTAGCGCCCGTCCTCCGGTGACCGGGACAGACAAGGCCGTTGCCCTGCCAGAGAGTCTCACGCAACGGTCGCTTCTAATGTGAATTAAGTGGGCCCTGCTTACTGCACCAGTCTATATATTTAATGCACGTTTCAGGAGTCCTGAATATATTCCAAAACAGCCCAATGGCACCAAATATTTAAATATTTGTACAATGTATTTTTATATATATGACTGTGAGCTGCCCTGAGCCTGCCTTCGTGGGAAGGGTGGGTTTTAAACAAATAAATAAATAATAGAAAGGCCAAAAGATAACATAATATCTCTGCCAAATAAAGTCTGTGTTGATTCTGTTTGGCTAACAGTGGAGTCTTAAACTGGCAAAACAGGACCGTTTCACCAGTGCAACTCTTGTTCAGCCAGTGGAAGGGTCCTTGCATCAGAGGGACAACACTCACGACCATGGCACCAACTTGCTCCTAAAAAACCATGTGATGTTGGATGAGTATGACAGTACATACAGTATCTTCAAGTATCACCAAAAAGCTGAAGTGGACAGGCAGAAAAGGAAGCGGAATACACACTACGTGCCACTATGGTAAGTAGGTCTACTATTGTATTCACAGGGACTTACAGGAAAGTGTTCTTAGGTAAACATTTGAAAGCTAAAATGTCGAGGGTCACATTGCATGCTACATGCATTCCAGCAGTGTTTTTTAGTTTGCAGTTTTAATAGCAGGCATCTAGCAAGGTAGAATTTCTTCCACCCACACACAAAACTACCATGTCCAAAGCCGGAGAAATTCCTATATAGATACACCCCTTTTAAAAATGAAGTTAAAATCTCACTAGAAAAAACTGGACCCTCAAAATTCTGCTAGGATATTTTTAAAAACCCAATGGAGATTAGTAAGCAGTGTGCAATGCACATCTTTTATTTCTAAGGCAAACCGTTCTGTTCCTTGTGTGGAACTGGCTTTGACTAGCTAATGGCAAAGCACCATCTTGAAGCATAAAGAGAGCCCCTCTTCTTCCAAGGGGCTGGGAGAGCCACCTTTTCTCTTTCATTAAAATAAGGAAATCAAGGCACCCAGCAGTGCTCCTCCAGCTGCCCCTGCAACATTGGTAGCCGCTGCACTGGCAGCACCTGGGATGAGAGATCAGAGAACACTGTTACTGGAATGCAGGTCCTCAGGGTCACCCTCGCCAGTTGGCAGAATCCCTTGTTAATCATGAAGTGACTGATGGAACATACCAATCGACTGCAGTATGGCAATAAGATTCTCAGCCACTCCTGTGCTACTGGTAGTGGGGGAGACTGACATCACACTTGCAGCTGTGGATTCAGCTGCAATTCCAGCTCCAGTAGAACTCAGTGCTCCAGCTGCTGTTGGAGGAGCAGCTGTGGCCACTTTATTAGAAGAAATGCAGTATTAGCTCTGTTGTATTTATACATTGCCCATCTTCTATAAGCTCTCTGGGTAGCTTACAACAAAATAAAGCCAGCAGAAAGACGCACATTGCAAAGTAAAACTGGATAGCTGTTGAGAAACTGTTGCAGGTCTTGGGTTGCCTGCCAGCTCCGGGTTGGGAAATACCTGGAGATTTTGCAGGTGGAGCCTGAGGTGGGGGTTGGGGCATAATGTCATAGAATCCAACTTCCACATCAGCCATTTTCTCCAGGGGAAGTGATCTCTGTTGCCTGGAGATCAGTTGTAATACAGATCTCCAGCCACCACCTGGAGGTTGGCAACCCTATGCAACTGTTATCAGGCAAAAATATTTTACCAGTATTTTGTAATACAATTTATACTTTTAAAAGCCATTTTGGAAAGCTGTTCGTAGCAGCTGTCAAACTATTTAAGGGAAGACTGTTGGACCTTTTCAAAGTTCTGCCACTGCTAGGCATCCGTCTTGTATTTCATTCTCTGGAGACCTCACCATCTGAGCCCTAGAGATTTTTTCATTTAAAAATTTTATATACCACTTTTTTGCCGTGCACTTAAAACAGTTTCCAGAGAAAGATACCACAAACATTTAAAACCAACCAACAAGGGCAGAGCAATAACTCCAAGACTGCTACTTGACTCAGAATGCTATGCTTCCTGGATTTGGCCTCACCTTCTGTTTCCTTATCTTTCCTTTCTGGAGCTTCACTAATGTCAATGGAGACCATCACTATCTTCTCAATCTGGGCAGACATCTTGTTGCTGAAGCAAAATTTATAGCCGCCATCCATGTAAGCAGCAAAGGTGTAATTCCCGCAGGAGTCTCTGTCACCTTGGATGAGCACCCTATTATCAGGGCCTGTTATCTCCACACCAATATCAAGGAAGCCTCCCTCAACCACCTCAAAGTAGAATCTTATTTTGGAATACAGGGGGACGAACTCAAGAATACACTCCTTCCAGTATGGGACAATTCTCAAGAAGTCACTTGCCGCGGGACCCAAGAGCACAGCCAACAGTGCCAGCACCAGGAACATGACAGCCAGAAGATAAGTGCAAGGCCATCCGTGCAGGAAGACAGGAGGGGAGAACAGAGAAAGAGGAGAACAAACAAGCTGTGTGAGCAGGCAGGTGCACAGACTTCATGACTTCAGCATCTTGGTGAGTCTGTGTGGAATAAGGCAGTCTTTAATATACCTCTGATGCCTTGAACAATCTGGGATAAGAGTAAGAACCAGTCTGTTAGTTGTGCCAGGAGAGTAATGGGCAACCCGGCTGCTTGTCCCTCTCAGCAGTCTGGCAGCCAGGTCCTGGACCAGCTGCAGTTTATGAACACAATTCAAAGAAAGAACATTGTTAAGAAGTCTGGTATGGGTGCCATGAACCTTCTATGTAGAAAGACGGCAGCTGGCAAAAGGTACCCCGAGCAAACACTGCCTCCTGACTGAAAGGTCCGGGAGGTGAGTCTGCAAGCGTGCTGCCATCAACCGGAAGTCGGAATACCAGGGTCTTGATGCTGATACAGGCCTCTGCACATCTCTTGCCTTGAAAACTCTATGGGGGGGGGGGTCACCATAAGTCAGCTGTGACGTGATGACAAAAAACCCTAAAGAACTTTTTAGAGACTGCTTTCCACTGTCTAATATTTCCAGCAGTACTCGTCTGTTGCAGAAAAATGAAACAAGAGTTTCACAGCTCTTCAAAGACCAAGAGAATTCATTTCAACATAAGGTTTAATGGGTCAGAGTTCACTTCATCAGATACCTTGTGAACATTCCTTAAGCAAATACATTTGCATTCAAATCAACAAACAATGGAAATGCAGGAGGATGAAAAAATGGTGCAAAGACAGTCCAGTTTAAAACAATATCCAAAAGGGAACTGCAGGGAACTCATTGTGCAGGGGGCTATTCAGATTGAGACCATGGCATGGGGGAGGGCTTTAGCCTCCCTTCACCACACCTAAAACAGCCCCAGGGCGGGGAGCATTATTTGCCCTTTTGAGACTGCAGGGAAACGGGACCCAACTTCATTAAAAAAGCAAATGTCTAGTTTGGTCCTCAGAAGCCTCCCCCTCTTCTCCTATCTGCGAGCCACTTTGAATCCCCAGATTTTGAAGTACAAGATTTTGTTTAGGAAACTAGTTTATCAAGTCATTGAGCCAAACAAAACCAAAAACGTTATTAGCATTTCAGCCAGAAGTCTTATGAAAATGATGAGGTTGGTTTGGCTAGATATACATCTCTCTCAGTTCATGTAGATCTTCCATCATGAGCCGGTGATAGAACTGTTTATAATCTCAGCCCAACAGACACATAGTGATGCTTCAGCCTAGTCATGCAGGGGTTATGAGATGTTAACGGTGGACAGTCACCCTAAGCTGGTCTTGTTCCCACTTCATAAAATGTACCAGATGCAGAGTTTGTCAGCACTCGTGTAGCAACCTCTTCTGTCCCCTCCCTCTATTTACTGCTATTGGGCCTCGTTTTAGAATAGTAAAGTTCACATAATGTTTGTTGTTGTAAGGGACATTGGTAGATAAAATATTTGAAATCCAAGAGGTCAAGGGTCATATTGCACCATGCATGCATTTCAGCAAAGTTTTTAGTCTGCAGTTTCAATAACAGGCATTTCTATTGCTAGCAAGGCAAAATTTGTTCCACCCATACACAAAACTACCAAGCTCAAAGCAAGAGAAATTCCCTGCTGTTATTCCCTGTTAAAAACTGGATCCTCAAAACTGCACTGGTATAGATATGAAAAACACACAATGGAGATGGGGTAAGTACTGTACTCTCATTTCTAAGGTAAACCATCTAGTTCCCTGTGTGAAGCTTCCTTTGCTTAGCTAATGGCAACACATCATCTTGAAGTATTAAGAGTCCTCCTCTTCTTCCAAAGGGCAAGGACAGCCACCGTTTCCTCTTCTATTAAAATAAGGAACCCAAGGCACCCAGCAGTGCTCCTCCAGCTGCCCCTGCAACACTGGTAGCTGCTGACACACCTGCAGCACCTGGGATGAGAGAGCAGAGAACATCATTTGTTAAGGAGTCCAAGCCTGAAACCCACGGGTCCCCAAGGCAGTTGTACACAAGTAACCAGGCTGTTGTTGAATTTTTAAATAAAGATGTATAAAGTTTATTTCAATTTCTGTCAATATAGGTATTGTATAGCCAACACATTACTCTAAATCGTGCAGCAAGAAAACAAGAAAGCTAGCTTAACTGTCTAAGTCTTCTTAGGGTTGCATTAGATGGCGCCAACCTTAAAGTCTGGAATCAAAAGCCAAAGCTTACACATTGTCTACATTGCTGGCAATTGCCATTCAAGCTGGTCATAGCCAATGTTCCCTCTAAGCTGTGGAGTCTTGTGAGCAAAAATTCTACTTTGTGAGCTACTGGCATTAAAGTTGTGAGCGAGCGATTTGGCTACTGCATAAATTAGTTGGCTCTGGAGCTATCCTTCCTGAGCCAAGACAAAAAATGTGTGAGCCGGAGACTAAAAAACTGTGAGCTAGCTCACACTAACTCAGCTTAGAGGGAACACTGGTCATAGCTCAAGCCTTTAGTCCATCAAGATCTCAGCCAGCCTCTTTCCTTCAGGGCCGGAGTTCAATTATAGTTTTTGGCCAAGCAACCTCAGGTGAAGATGACATCCAATCAGAACATGTTCTCCAGAGAAGCCTCTAGAAAATTACCTCATCACCCCTGACTCTCCTCCCCTCATCCTATGGTCCACAGGCTCCCATGAAAAGCTAATCACACCCAGACCCGTTTCTATTCACATTAACCCTTGAGGGGGAGGCTGGGGTGGTTTGCCTCACACCGTTACTGGGATGCAAGCCCTCCGGGGTCACCCTCACCAGTAGAGGGAATCCCTGCATCAACCCCCTTTTGCAAGTGGCAGTCATTACATACCAACTGACTGCAGTACAGCAACAAGGCTCCCAGCAGCCACTCCTCCACCATTGGCAATGGCAGATGCCGACATCATACTTGCAGCTGTGGATCCAGCTGCAATTCCAGCTCCAGTAAAACCCAGCATCCCAACAACTGCTGGGAGAGCAGCTGTGGCTGCTATAGTACAAGAAACACAGTATTAGCCATATCTGAACAACACATTTCTACCTTCCCCTCCTGTCATACTGAAGACTATCTGGACAGCTTACATCATAGCAGAAGAGTCAGATATCAGCCGATATGGAGCGTCAATAGTTTATAGAACAAAAGCCTTTTTAAAAAGACCAGTTTGGACAACATGTATTTGACCATTGAGGAAACTGATTTATGATACATTGGGATTATGAACTAAGATGGGAGAAAGTTCTAGCAGTATCTGTTGCCTCTGACAAAGTCTCTAAAGTCTTGCTTAACATGGGTATTAGAGAAAATTGCCTGAAACTGTATTTATGGTGGCATTTTGCCCTGATCAAATGGGCATCAGAACTTGACTGGAAGTGTGCTGAGGCAAGAGGCACTGTGCTATGAAAGTGGCATGATTGTGACCTGGTCCAAAGGTTTTGGAGTTCAATCCATTAAAAAAATAATGTATACTGTAGGCTATGTGACATATGTATAAACTGGGATTAAAAAAACATGGCATATTATTTAGGAATCTAATTGTAGCGGCTGCAGTGCGATTAGCTCAGGTATGCAAACAATTGAGACCTTGGTTAGGTAGGGTTTGGTTTGTAATTATAATGGATAAGACTTATAAATATGTCTATCTATAAAAATGTGTATAATATGTATCTATCTATAAATATATCTAGAGGATTCCCTATTCTGTTTTGTCAGTTAACCAATGTATATTAATTTTGCTTGTGAATTATTGTAATTACATCATTTTTAGGCAAATAAATGCAGCTTGGAAGAAGTTTGAAGGCTTTTTCAATTTTTCCAAAGGAATAAGTGGGAAATTTGTGGGAACACGGAAATAACCCTCATACTGCAGGCATATTCAGCGTTTTCAAGATTTTTTTAAAACTGAAATAATTTTCACTATGTTTAATGATAAAGAGAGTTCAGTGTCTTCAGCGTTACACATTTTAGCTGAATATCCAACCTGCTGGCAACCCTACTTGTTGTGAATCTATGAGAGTGTTTTGGTTCAAATATACACTTTGGTTTGTTTACTACAGAATTTGGTTCCTACCATCAACTTTTATTTTTGCTAACTCTCAGCAGAAATTAAAGGTACGTGCTATGGTTGCATAGGATACAGCAATTTGCAACTCTTTCTCCAGTATTGGGCATGCATGCGGTTTTTCATATAGAAAATAAAAGGTATTTATACTTTTAATTTCCATTAATCTGTCAAATATCACAATTTTATACGCTTATAAGTGTAAGTGATGCATTTTATGTTGTTAAATTGGTAAAAGAAGTTTAGATTTGAAAGGATAGTATGCTTTGATTTCCCTTAAAATTACCATTTGTTCCTGTGACATCAAATGATATCTTGTATCTCCAGGAAATATTTCATCCAAAGGAGCAAGAAGCTAAACAAAAGTTGGTGTTTCATAGAGTCACAACAAGTAGGACTGCCAGCATGTTTGGATATTGTAACATTGAAGACAATGAACTCCCTTATCATTAAACATATTATAGTGAAAGTTATTTCAGTTTAAAAAACTAAAGGATGTAACTTTAGTGTCCAAGTTATTTGAGCACACAGTAACTGTTTAAGAAGCATGGTTCCATTGGGTAGATGTATCTATCTGCTGACGTATTGGGGGATATGAATTTGCCTTACATAGAGGAGCATGGTTCACTAGCATAAACAGCTAATTACATTCAGGCCTGGTTCTGACTCTGGTCCCAGGTGACATTGGGCAGGTTCCCTAACATGGTGCCCATGGGTGCCGTGGCACCCACGGACTCCTTTCTTGGCACCAGCCACGTGTTTTTAAAAAGCGGTTGGGGCCAGGCAGGAGTTTTGCCCAGCAGGGCTTCTGACTGGCCATTGGAGATCTGATTAGCTGTGCAGATTTTTAAGAAATAGTTTCATCAGCAGTTGTCACCACAGCACAAGGATCTTCACTGTATGACTGAAGAAAATATTTTTAAACAATATGCTCGTTTTAAAAGGCATCCTGTTAAACAGAGCTTCTGCCCAAAATGCTGTATAGTTACTATTTGAGTTATGCATGACCTTACCCACTAAGATTTTGTGGTTGGCTCCGCGTCTTGTCACAGCCATTTTATGGCTGGCTCTGTCATCCAGTGTCAGAATTCCAAACATGCCCACAGGATCAAAAAGGTTGGGGACCCCTAACTTATGGTATCAAAGGTGCCTGAAGGATGGCCTTTGACTATATTAGTGTAGTAATACTACCATGGAGAGAAATCTCTATGGGATCATTACACAAACAGCAGTTTAAGATAAAGCTGATTTAAGTTCCCAGCTGCCCCCTGATCACAAACATTTGTCCACTAAGGATTCTTTTGTATCTGTGTGAAGGCTTTCCTTAACGGACACAGGAAGTGGTGGGTGCTACAAGCATGGACGGCTTCAAAAGGGAATTAGATAAGCATATGGAGCAGAGGTCCATCAGTGGCTATTAGCCACAAGGTATAGCTAGGGGCTCTGGGGCAAGTGATGCTCTGTCTTCTTGGTGCTTGGGGGGGGGTCAACAGTGGGAGGGCTTCTAATGTCCTGGCCCCACTGCTGGACCTCCTGATGGCACTGGTATTTCTGGCCACTGTGTGACACAGAGTGTTGGACTGGATGGGCCTTTGGCCTGATCCAACATTGGCGTCTCTTATGTTCTTATGTTCTTATGAGAGTGCTGTAAAGTATCCCCTGTACAATCCCTATCAAGAAGGCAATACCAGGAAGAAATACAATACTGAATGATGTCCACATCTGGTTGGCTGTCTAGACTCAAGGTCAGCCTATCTGGAGGCAGACTATACTCATGTATGAGGCTCACTGTTTGTCCCAGCTGTTCTTTGGGGATGTTACCAAAGAATATACGAACGATCATCACAGTACAAAACACAGCCCTCAACCTACCAGCGCCAGCAACAGCTCCAACAGCAAGAGTGATAGGGTCAGCTAAGGAAAGAAAGACTTACGTTAGATATTCAAGATCTGAGCACAGGCAACAGCTTCAGTTAGTTCAGCATCTCAGACGTTGGGCAGCCAAGGCATAACTGGTGAATTCAAACTGGGAGTAAGAGTGAAGTGAGCCTCCAAAAACAGTACAGCGTTTTTAGCTCAAATGAGGTAATGGGGAATCTGTGAGCAGCAGGTTAACACAACACTTTAACCTGCAGCCAAGGAACCACCTCACCAATTCAGATTGGAGCTATGGCACACAAAGGCGGAAGTGATTTAAGCGGTCCCCCCCCAGCAATTTCAACAGACCCCTCCCCCCTGGCTGTTTAAGTCCTAGAAAGCCACCCTCCATTTTTCCCCTTCCGTGGCCAGGAAAGGTCTTAGGTGGTGTCAGTTTTATTTGACAAAACAGTCCACAACTGGGGGAGTTACAAACTTTACACTACAGTCCCCATACAAATAGGTAACTTTTCTGGTTGCAGTTTACTTGGGATTTTGGTCTCCTCAGCATTTCAAAAGCCTTAAGCCACTGTGTTCGATGCAGCTACCACTCTATGCCTCTCAGAGCAGGAAGCCTGGATTCCCCCCCCCCCAAGTCATTCTAAGAGGATACAGGGTACCAGTACGACCTCTAAGCTGTGGAGTCTTGTGAGCAAAAATTCTACTTTGTGAGCTACTGGCATTAAAAGTTGTGAGCGAGCGTTTTTGCTAGTGTATAAGTTAGCTTGCTCTGGAGCCATCCTTCCTGAGCTAAGACAAAAATGTGTGAGCCAGAGGCTAAAAAACTGAGCTAGCTCACACTAACTCGGCTTAGAGGGAACACTGCAGGGTACCAGACTTGCCTCACCCAGCCCTTGTTAGAGTCCACAGGAAAGTGAGGGGAACACAGAAGCATCCCTTATTGCCCAGAAAGGGCAAGTCAGTCCTTGACAAACTAGTCACAGAGAGGACAGAACAGCAGGTGGCAATGTCTACTCTGCAGCTGCCTTCTCATTATTTTGGGAGCTATTCTAAAGGGATGGCCACCTGCAACCTGGTTTCACTACACTCAATAATGTTCAGCAACCAGTTGAGAGTTATCAGTTCAGATCAGAGTTGTGCGCTTACCCAACCATCTGATCATAGATATGCTGTCAGGTACCCAACCTATCAGCCATTTTTGGTGAGCAGATGTCTTTTCCCACAAGCATCCTGTTTCCTCCCAGGTTTCCAGGGCAGGTAGAGGAAGAATCTCTCAAAGGGCTTGCTATCATGGTGTTTGTTGTCATGCAACAAGTGTGTTGATTTCCAAGTGTGCACAGCTTCCCCACGCTAACATTCTAGCATTCCCAAGTCTTCCTGAGTAGGCGCAGGATTGGTTAGTGGGAATCTCCTGGATTCCTTTACTTCTCTCAAATGTGTTTCACATCCTGTCAATTCCTGCTTCTGCTATAAGTGCTCCTCACCTGCTTGAATTTCAGGCGATGAGGAGAGCTGGTTATAGAACATAAGTTTTAAATTCCCATTTTTCCTTCACTTAAAACACAGCAAGTAGGCTGCTGCTAGAAATGGGCAGTCGAGACTCTGATCAACCTTGCCCTGTTGGAAACCTTCTTGCAGGAGCCTAGGATCCCCTGGCTATCTTGGAAGTACCTACTGCATTGGAAGAAATACCACAGGGAATATTCCAAAAGGACTCTCCAAACCCAGTATATACAATTAAATGTTAAGACCATTTTACCCCTGGGGGAAACTGGGAAGGGTGGAACTAACAAACTGCCTCCCGAGCCACACGGAGAACTCACCCATTGGGAGGTTCTCTGTTCTTCAACTCGTGCAGGGAACACTGTGCATGAGACAAGCAAATGTATTATTAATTAAATTATGAACAAAATACTACAGATCTGGAAAGGCACTGCAGTAATGCATGAACCACCAAAGTGAATGCCAACACCACAAGGCAAAAGAGAGTGCTGCAAAACAAACCAAGAATGCTCAAGGAAAAAACCCTTAAGTCAATTGCAAAGTGAGGGAAGGAAAGTTCTCCCATCAGCAGGTATTTTTCCTAAGCAGGATTCTACTTTTATTTAACTGCAGCGACTAAAATGCTTAAACAATGAGAAGCCTTCCTTGCTTCATAGAAATAGAGGTTTCACAGATTAACAGGTTTGCCTTTTCACTGCTCCAGGACAGACATCGATTAAAAAAAAAGTTCTTCCCCATCCGGGAAGATGCACTGCTAGAGAGAATGTTGCCGTATTAATAAAAAGCACATAAGTGAAGAGGCCTGAGATAACTCAGCCAAGCAATCTGGGCTACTGGCAGATTTGAGAGCCACTTGCCCAAAACTCCCCCCCCCCAAGCCCCCCATTCCAACCAGCAGCTAACTTAAGTGGTAGGAATGGGAACTGCAATTAGGGTTGCCAGCTCTGGGTTGGTAAAGACCTGGAGATTTGGGGACAGAACCCTCAGCAGGGCACAAGGCCACAGAATCCACCCTCCGAAGCAGCCATTTCCCCCCAGGGAAACTGACCTCTCTAGTTTGGAGATCAAATGTACTATCTGGAAATCTCCAGACTCCACCTGGAGGTTGGCAAGCCTAGTTGCCAGGTTGGGGGTGAAGCCTGGGGAGGATGGGGTTTGGAGAGGCAAGGGATTTCAGCAGCATACAATGCCAAAGAGTCCAGTCTCCAAAGCAGCTGTTTTCTCCAGGGAAACAGTTCCAGGAGATCTCCAGTCCCCACCTGGAGGTCAGCATCTTGCCAGAATCTTTTTTTCTGTTAGGGAGGAAAGGGTACCCAAAGCAGGTTTCTGCCCCCCCCCCAATCCACAAGGTACACCACAAGAAGCAAGGCCAGTGCCAGCCTCCAGGTGGGACCTGGTGATGCCCCAGAATTACAGCTCATCTCCAGACTACAGAGATCAGTTCCCCTGGAGAAAATGGATACTTTGGAGGGTGGACTCTATGGCACTGTACGCCACTGAGGGGTCCCTGTCCTCCCCTGGCTCCATCCCCAAATCTCCAGGAGTTTCCCAACCTGGATCTGGCAACCCTACCTGCCCCACACACACCGGTGGCCAGGAGGGGCCTGGCAACCCGCCTCTTCCCATCCACTTTCAGCTCCCCTACCTACCCCACTTCCAGCCAAAGCTTGGCAATATCTTTCTAACTGTTCCAGGCCCCTTCTCCCCGCATGACCATCCTGGCAAAGAGTTAGGAGGCAGAGGGTCAACTCTGCAGCTGGAACGAGCACTTATCTGGCCTTGCCAGCCATTTTCATGGCACGCAGACCACTCACCTCAGGCAAGCCTCGCTTCCACGTCAGCCTTCTCAGATGCTCTGGGTTTTGCAGCCCTGTAAGGAGGCAGGGTCGGCGGTGGTGGCCAATAAGAGAGACCGGCTTCTTAGCAACGAATCCAGAATCTCGTGCCGACAAGCCACGACCACCCGAGGGAGGGCGAACGCAAGTTAAGTTTCGGTTTCCCAGCGTTTTTCCTCGCACTGCAGGGAAACGAAAGGGACGCGTGGAGCGCTGTTTCCTTTCTGTTTGTGCTTTTCAAAGCCGACTTTCTCTTTACACGGCCGTAGAGCAGCTCACGAAAGGAAAAAGAGTCCTACTTCACATCTCGGCGAGGAGGCAACTCTTGCTGGCTCATTGTAACAAGGAAACAGCTGGCCCGGTCTGACTTGCCACCTGCCCTTTACCTT